CGAGTTGTAGCACCTGAGACCATTTGAATTGGCAGCATGAAGATCAATTGAATGTAGCGTAACTGCAGAGAGGTGGATCATGGAGTCTGGAAAAGGGTTGAAATGATGGACAACGACCAAATGCTCAAGATTTGTTGTAGAGAGGTCTTAATGTGTGTCAGGATAGTGTTTTTACCCACCAACGTCCTTCTAAGCTCTTCCTGTATGTCTGAATTGCCCCCAGAATCTTGTGAATTCAAATTTCGACACGGGGTTGGTCTTTGGGGTGTGGATGGCGAACATCTCCAACAAAGAGACTTCGTATCACGTATGAAAATGTTTCCAAATTAATGCAATATGTGATAACTTTTAATTGTCAGGTTGCTTTTACAGTGCAGAACTTTTACATGGGTTGATTTTTTTAACGCAGTCGTGGAGTGATTGGTGGAGTGGTAAGTGTTTTTCATTTATCTTCATTTGTTTTTATTTAATTCTTTTATTTAAATAATTGAAGTAAAAGTCTCTACCTTGATGTATTAAGATTTGTTAGTTTCCAGAGCAAGTCGTATGTAACAAAAAACATGATTGTTTGTGAGTTTCTATATATAGAGACATCCAAAAAAAACGTCATCAAAGTTGGCCAAGAAAAAAAGACGTATTTCTATTCTTATTCGAATTTATAACCTTATTTACTTGTCAAAACTGTCCCATCATATGACAGTTATTGTTTATTTTACAAATTGTGACAGTCACTTGTCAAAAGTTTGACATAACCGAAAAGCTTAGACATGACTGATATTTCTATCTCTCTCGTTCATAGCCAGAGTTGATGATGTTTTTTTTGGATGTCTCCATATAAACACAACAATTGACCTTTACAAAATGCTGTTACAAGAATATAGAGACAACTGGTTTAAGTAAAGAAATTTTATTATTATAATTACACTGGCACACAAAAAAAAACAAAATTTTCTGAACCCGAGGTCTGACATGTCAATTCTTATGCATTTTGATGCGCTGAATACGAATCCTATATCCATTTTGTTCCATTACCCACCAGTCTTCCACAAAACCTCAATTTTGGGTCAAAATTTACCAAGAAAATGCCAAAGTCTATTTTTGGTACCGTTTACTCCAAATATATCGTTTCCGGAGTATTTTTAACCGCTGAAAAGGATTCCGTAATCCAAATTTACTTCTGACCCTTCATTAACCCAATTTTGGGCCAAACTTGATAATCTTTGGAAATTCATGCAACAGATGATTAAGTTTTTCATCTTTCAAAATATCTTTTTTTTTCGCAATTACTTTGCATGTAATGAAGATTCTGTTTTTTAATTTTTTCTTGTGTTTTATTTGTTTTTATAAAGTCATGACTAAGAGGTGTTTTTTCAAAGTACAATTTTGTGCTGGCTATTTGAACCGATATTTAACTTTGTTTCAGTCATACAAGCAGCGAATTTGTCTTATTTGTCTTATTTTTTGTAACTTATACTCTCTAAATTGCTTTGTCATAGTTCAAGTGTGAGTTTTGCGTTTCAGTTTGTGTAACAGTTTGATTGTCTGAGTGTCAATATAAGTTGTGCGTCTGGGTTTCAGTAGGAGTTTGCTTGTGTAAGTTTCAGTTCGAGTTTTGCCTCTGAATTTTAGTATGAGTTTCTTTGTCTGACTTTCTAACAATGGTTTATTCAAAACTCATTAGTAACCAAAATATAAAGGTAAGGTACTATAAAATTTTTTTGGCCATTTTGACCCAAAGATGCGCTTTTTTTGGGTTACTACAGTGTCACAAGTAAATTTGGACTACATAATTCTTTTCTGTGGTTAAAAATACTCCGAAAACGATATATAAGGAGTAAGGGGTACAAAAAATAGACTTTGGTATTTTCTTGGGCAATTTTGACCCAAAATTGGGATTTTGGATCATCGGATTCGTATTCAGCGCATCAAAATACATAATAAGTCACATGTCAGACTTCGGGTTCAGAAAACAGTTTTTTTTTTGTGTGCCGGTGTTATCAAAGACATTATATTTTAAACTTGATAGTTTAAACTTTCACTATAAAGTGAAAATATGCTTATTGTTTCCTATATGACCCTTAACCTTTTCAAGTACACCTTTCTAATAATTAGTTCTATTTTTAGAGCTTGTAACCAGCAATCAATTCACATTATCCCTTCACTATAGAAGTTCATTAGAAAATTATTACCCATAAGTTTTGATTAGTCTTGGACAGTCATTTGTAATAATAATATTGGTTTCCAACATTTAAATATACCTTTAATTGGCCATCATCATGAGTATCATTATGTTTATGTCCCATTTTTGAAAGAGCTTATCACGGGCCCTTTCTATCACAGTAAACTCTTTTTTTAAATAATTCGCTCTACTCTTGTAGGCCATCAGTGCAGTAGTTATTAAATTAGAACGATTAAAAACGATTAGAACTGAAATGGGTCCATTTGTCAATTAATATGGTAGTAATTGTAAAAGCTCCACTGGATCATAACAGTCTGTATCAGGATTAATTCGAACAATTTACATTGAAAGCGTGCCATTTTGAATCGCTGCCAGGCGATTGCGTCTGGCGAACAAGAGATAGATCGTTATTTATTCTTTTTTCCATATATACATTTCCCTTTTTCGTTTCTAAAAATAGCAGACGAATCAATAAAACGAATAGTTTTAGTCGTCCTTACTTGCGAATTTCTTTGGCAGACGAAAGCTAAGAGTACCCTTAAAATATTCGAACACAAATAGCTCGAAAAGGAAGTCCATTTAGTCATCACATAAACTACTCTATTTTTCTCAGCTGCGTTTCCTGGAATTACGTTTCTGTTAAGTTATACAGAAAGAGTTTGATAAATAATCGACTATTACGTTGTGGTTAATTTTCGATGGAATACTAATTGCAATTTGGTGGAGTGAATTTAAAGTATTCAATGTAAATCACGATCAATTGGTTAGCGTAGTCGCAATTTGCCGACTAAATTTTTACTTATACCGAGTCTTCAAATAATGACCTCAAGTTGCCTATGGAAAATAAATCGTATGTCTTTCGAACTGTTTTCCAGTATGGATGACATGTAAATATATTTCTGACAGCTTGATCTATGGACAATTTTGTGTAATGCTTAAGTTTGCAACGTGCTGTAGCCGATTTGCACAATGAAAGTCATGATACACCCATTTTTTGAGGGTTGCTTAAATTGTGATATTTTTTATACTACAGTGTTCATTTATTTTTGCTTCTGATAGGATTACATCTTTTGAAATTATGCGTCTAATAAGCATACGTTGAAGGTGATATGTCGATTGTGTGAAAATATGTCGGTAAAGAAATACCTACATTTTGAATGTTTTCAAAAAATCATCAATAAATACGAAAATATTAAATCCTTTTCAAAGTTCTTGAACTAATATTAAAGGAAAATCTTCAGAGTATATATCTGACTAACTGAGGCATTTTGGAACAGTTTTTCCTAGACATGAAATATTTCCGAAGTTCAACCAAGAATATCATAAAAAATCAAAAACATCTGTACGCTTCCTCAATTGTCAGCCCGTTTCTGAAATATAACTCTACCATAAATATTTTTTGCTATTGTGTAAACACTATTATAAGGAGTTTCTCGTAGAATCTACACACACTGCTTTAATTTAGAATTTCAGCACCTTGACAGTTTAAAAGCTGTCAAGTGCCAGATTGCAAAATAACAATTTTTGGCCTAAACCTACCAAGGACATGCTTTTGAATTGGCCTAATAGGAAAGCCTACTTTCAGGGAATATAATTAATTTTCGGAAATGGCGAAGGCGCTGGTATTTCTGCAGCTGTGAGTTTTTACGACGGTGTAATTGCTAAAAAAATTATTATACTGTTTAATATATACCACACTACTGACACATATCAAATGTTATGTACGTGCAGTCATCTTATCAATTTTCATTAATAAAATTAAGAGGGTCACACTGCAGAAGACTATTCAATCTAGGAGCAGAAAAGATCAAATTTACACAATCATATCATATTAACGTATTTAACATATTTTCTAAATAAGTATTATTTGAGGCAAAATACATCTAATGATTATTTAAGGTAGTTACCAAAGAAAACATTTAAATAAATTGTCACTTTTGATGCATATTTGAACCTGTCATTTTGCATTGTTATCTATTCCGATAAAATAAACATTTATAAAAATTGCCATGTATTATCCATTAGGTAAGTACTAATAATCATTATTTACTAAAATACGTTAAACAAATAATTAATCGCCCTTAAAATGTATTTCACAGACATAATAAATAAATCAGTTTGTGTTTATTACTAATCACAAATAGAAACTATCCGCGGCTTACTATACTATTCTTACCATATTGTCTGATATATTATTTTACATATGTATTCGACGCATAATATAGACACATTTAAAAAAAAACGTCATCAACTCTGGCTGTGAACGAGAGAGATGCAAATAGCGGTCATGTCTAATCTTTTCGGTTATGTCAAACTTTTGACAATTGACTGTCACAATTTGTAGAATAAACAATGTCTGTCATATGATGTGACAGTCTTGACAAGTAAATAAGGTTATAAATTCGATTAAGAATAGAAATACGTTTTTTTCTTCTCGGCAAAATTTGATGACTTTTTTTTTTTTTGGATGTCTATATTTCAGAAATCTGTGGAAGAAAGTACAACATATTTCCTATTGTTGAAATCATAATAACAAGCGGAGTTCATCAAATACAAAAATGTAGGTTCTATTAAAAAGAAAATCTCAGTTAAATAGCTGCTACTTTTTCTTTTAATTTCTTTAAATTTAAGAAAAAATAAGTTACCCATCTAAAAAGATTTTTTTTATAGTTCTAGAAATAACAGAGAAAAATGGGGTGGGAAACGAACTTACCTGTCTATGTTTTTATGATTTATAGGTTTCTTGATTATGAAATTTGAAACAAACCTCTCAAAACTATTGAAACAAAGGTTGTTTTACATGGTCAAAAGGGTCATATTGGCCGCGGCGATAGCTTAGTGAGTATAGTCCGCCACGTGAGAAGATATTACCCGCGCGGGTTCGAATCCCGCCTGTGGCAATTGGTTCTGTCACAAGGGTTTAGTTGTGTATCCTACGTCTTTCATGTGTAATTTCTGTGGTGTGATTTTAGGTATGGGCGAATGCTAGGTACAAAACAGGACAAATTAGTATTGTTGTAGTGGTTTTTGAGATTTATTTTCTGAAAAATGTGTGTAGCTTTAGCAGAAAATTATAAAACTGACGATCGTGACCTCAAACTATTGATAGGATATCGATTGTCTCGACTACCGATAGCATCGATAGTGCTACCGATAGTTACCCAACAGTGGAGGCTTGTCAGGGGAGGGAGTGCCTCCCCTGTGAAAATTCTAAAGAAGTTTTTTTTTTCATATACATAAACCTACCTACCTATAATACTTACCTTCAATTTTTAAAATCATATATCAGGTAAAAAATTAATTTCTAAAAATAAAAATATTAATAAACATATATACAGTGGACGCCGCTTATAAGACTCACTTTGGGACCAGCAAAAAGTGAGTCTTATAAGCGGATGAACCTTATAAGCGAAGGGGGAAAAACAAGATTTTAAAATGTATGTAATACACAAACTTCATTTTACCTGTGAATAGACATAATACAACACAATAGCGTGTTATCTACTTATAAAAAAAAGGTAACTCTTCAAATACATACGTACAAACATATGTACATAATCAGTTCAAAGTTTAAGATGGTTTAAAGAATATATTTATTTTTGTTTGTTTTTTGTTACTTTCATCATCATTTCAGTTATATATTTTACATAAACTGAGTCTTATATCCGAAGTGGTGAGTCTTATAACCGAGTTTTTTTCAATGTATTCGGATACTTCCGGACTGTTTCTGGCGATTTTGAGTCTTATAGGCGACTGAATCTTATATCCGTGAGTCTTATAAGCGGCGTCCACTGTATGTGAAAGAAGTTCCTGCACTATTAATTGCAACATATTAGTCCTCATAAACGACCAAGCGCCTAGTCTATCACCGTGGTGGCAAGCCTCCGATGCCAATGTTTTCACATATATATTTACATGGGATAACGAGTTTCGCGCTTCGCACCCATATGTGTCTGTTAATAAATTTAACACTTAATGTCAGTGGCATTAAAGGTCATTTAAAAAACTGCATAGCGGAGGCAAACACGACCATCTTCCACCTCTCACACGTGACAGCGCAGAAAACATGTTATTTGATTTCATGAACATAACAACCTAACCTACAACATTTAATATGTGTCTGTTATTCTTCTCTGTTTTGAAAATGAACTTTGGAAAGTGGCGTTATTCTTGCTGGGTTTTATAAGTGTTTTGAGTGGTATAGGAGGGTAATAATAATTATTGAAAGGGGACCATATTACTTACGTAAGGAATTATTTGAATGTTTATAAAATTATAATGGAGGTAACTGGCGATTGTAGCAGTTTGTTTCATAATAATAATAATACGAGTTGTAATGACACTCAAATAAATATTCACACGTTCAATGATATTGTCGAGTATTTTATAAAGTACAAAGTTAGTCGCCTGTCTTATGGGGATAGATTGTTTGGTAAAGATTTAGTACCGCGGCCAGATCTAAGTAACACTTTAATTAATCAGGGTAAGTCTTGTCCACTACACCAACCACTAAATGTCTTAGTGGTTCTTTAACTTTAAATAAATTATTGTGTTGGCCCTGTGTATTATTTTCAAATCATGGAGAAGATGCTTGAACGAAGTTTAGATCTGATAACCTAATAAAATTTATCTCGTTCAATTGACACATTCAAAAAATCACGAACATATTAGTTGCGTTTGTAAATTGCATCTTTTAGGCAAACAAAGAATGAATGTGATCGTATTTTATTTCACTGCGTCTTTTAATTGTAAAATAATTTGACGGAAACTCCAAAACTTCCCGATGCTTTTGCTGAAACCATATTTTAGGTACATTATGTCAGACAAATGTACTTAATATATTTTATTAACCAAGAAGAGATCCTTCTCCTAGCTGTACGGTATATAACTAACAATGTTTACAAAAATTTAGGAAACAAAAATGTTTATAAAATTTGTTTCCCCCCCCCCAAAAAAATAGTCACGAGCCGCCACTGTTACCCATCCCTACTTCTTGTTTTTTTCGTGGCAACAACTAAACCAAATCCAACCTACCTGCTTCCTTGCCGCCCTTCACGCATATTCCGAAGCCGTGGGTGCCGTCCTGCGGTTCGCGTACCATCGTGACGGTTCTCGTCGACAGTTCGTGGATGCTCGGCGCATACACGGGGCGATAGTTGAGCTGGTGCGTGGTGGACGGGGGACTGCTGGCCGGCGACCGACGCGGCCTCTCTATGCTGGTTTTGGCGGCGGAAGGGTTGTTGGTGCCAAAGAGACGAAGCACCTGCTCGGGGGAGATCGGCCGTTTCTTGTTGTTCGTCGACGAGGGCGTTCTAGTGGTGCTGAAGTTCGGGTTCGAGCCCAGATAGGTTCCTGGAACAGACAGACGTACGTGCAAACACTTACTATACGTTTCAAATGTATTGAGCACGTTCAATGCAAATTGCGAATAACTGAGGAGTTAAAAAATAAAAACTAGAGGCTTTTACTTAGGCCCTTATTAATAAATTGTAGAAATTTCAACTTTATGTTTTATTCTTTTGTCGAGTTATGAATTATTATGTTCGAAAATGTACATTTTTTCCCCTGTATTTACCAGTATATTAAAATTTAACTACTCATGACTTTGTTAAATAAAGACATGTTTGATTCAAATTTGGCCTATTGATATAAATATATGTTTACTTCGCACCGTATACGAGATATTTCTTACGAGACAAAGGTTTCCATTAAAATGCAAAAATAAACTGCTCGTCAAAATTAGCGTAACACTTTTTAGTGACTTAAATGAACCGTGACTTAAACGGTGTTTTTTGTACCTAAGTTTATGTAAAGAGTGTGAAGTATTGTGGGATATTCGAGATGAAAATTACAAAAATCTAAATAAGCAATATAGTGCATTTGAATACATATAACGTGAAATTGCTAGAAGGATTTGACAATAGTTGTGATAAAGAGAAAAATTAAAAGTATTAGACACCTAAATAACATGTGGAAAAAAGTAAGAAAGATTTAACAATTTTAATTTCTAAAATTAATTTTTTCAATAACTGACTAGTACTAATATGTAAAGGATTCAAAAGCTGCCATCATTCTGCCAGCCTGAAAATTCTACCGCCTGTTGTTTGTGCTGAGACGGCTAACATACTTGCCAACAAGAAGACTAGAACAAGGAGACCGAGCTCGCGTAAAATAGATACCGAGAGAACGGCACAAATGACGTCGAAATCCGCTAGAGTATTAGCGGCGCTGAGAGCGCCGCATTTCTTAGCTTCGGGAGTTTCGTAAACAGAGCGTCTAACACTGAATGTACCCGAATCCTAATGCGTTTTTGTGTTTTTTAAATTGCAATGTGCACAATGTAAAAACCAGCAAAATGGTAAAATTATGCTGTGTGAAAAATTGTGGGAGCAAGAGGCCCGATCCTGGTGGGAATAAGCGAACCTTGTTTACAGTTCCAACGGTATGTATATATTATCAAGTGTATGCGTTGTTAATTTGTGGAATGTTTACATTTCTTTATGCATCTTACTTCTCTGCAATTTATTGTTTGAGTATTCACTGCACATTAAATGCGTTGTGCATTAAAGAACAGTATTGTATATTTAACTTTTTATTTTGACAGGATGCAAATAGAAACGACGAATGGATGGCAAAAATAGTTCCGCACCTTAGAAAAGGAAAAAATTGTCGCAAAATCTTAAAGAGGAACATATAGAACGGGACTTCACAGTGATCCTTACAAATGGATTGGTTTGCAATGTCGGTCCCAGGCAATTTGTAAAATTGAAGCCAAAAAGTGTGCCTTGCATTTTCGAGGTACAATTTTGTTTACTTCACTGACTTAATGCAGAATCAAGCTGCATTTTTCATTGAAATTACGTCGCCGTTAATCAGTGTTTTCTCAGGTTAAGGTGCAGTTGTGCGCGCTACCGCTTTGCGCAGGTAATAGTCTGCCGCCATATTAAGTTTATCTTTCGACGTATTTTGTGCCGCCCGAAACACGCCCGAGCTCGCGTGTTCTAGTCTTCTTGCTTGGGGGGCGTCCACAAATTACGTGAGGTGTTCAAGGGGGGGAGGGGGTCAAGCTAAAGCTTTCCAAATCTCACTTGGGGGGGAGGGGTTTTTTTAACAAATATCACGTAATTTTTTTTCTAGTAGAAAACGGTGTAAAATTGCGTGAAAATAAAGTTAAATCAAAGTTAAAAATTTTTCTAGAATGAAATATGGCGAAATTTCACATAATAGTGTTTGTCGTATTTGTCCGAACCCCGTAGAGCAGCACAGTAGCCCTTCGATTGTTTAAGCGCTATCGACCAGCCGTATCGACATGCGTGACTCGACGAACGTCGCAGCGTAAAGAGCCGAGTAACAGTAGCGCACGTACAGGTCCCAACCTGCTTTGTTTACGTCTGTCTTAAATAAAAGTAATAAAACAAATTAAAAAAAAACTGGACGATTTCCACGAAACGCCGAACTACTACACTTTTCTCGACGCGCGTTTCGCCAACCAATTTTTGGCATCTTCAGGAGAAGATTAAAACTAAATTATATCCTACACACTTGCACTATTTATACCAAATTTGTTGCCACGGTTCACTGAACCGTAACTGTCTTTGTTTATCAGAGCAAACAGTGGACTGGTGGGTATCGGACCATTGTCCTTATTCATACTATAGTATGAATTCAGTGTATGAGTTCAGTGAACCGTGGCAACAAATTTGGTATAAATAGTGCAAGTGTGTAGGCTAGAATTTAGTTTTAATCTTCTCCTGAAGATGCCATCTTGGTTGGCGAAACGCGCGTCGAGAAAAGTGTAGTAGTTCGGTGTTTCGTGGAAAACGTCCAGTTTTTCGTTTCTACGCCGAAGGTTCCAGTACCCACTCCAGAAAACAAATTTAGTTTTTTGTATTTTTTTTAT